CAGCACAAGCAACTTGGTGAGATCTCATCTCTACAATAAATCAAAATATTAGCTGGGCACGGTGGCACATGCCTGTAGTTCCAGCTACTTGGAAGGCTGAGGCAGAAGGATCACCTGAACGCAGCAGGTTGAGGCTGCAGTGGTTGTGATAGTGTCACTGTACGCCAGCCTGGGCAACAGAGTGAGACTCCGACTCAAAAAAAAAGTCATTAACTTATTAACTCAATCCCAGTATGTATATGTGTGTGTGTGTGTGTGTGTGTATCACATGCACATATACTTTGTTTAGGAATGACTAAGTCCTCTCTGTTCTTTTTTGGCTTTAGTCTTAAGAGTATATGGTCAAAACACTGTTTCCCAAAGTAAGATGGGCAACACACCCCTCTCCCTCAGAGTGGTTTTGTTATTTATTTGTAATATAGTTAGATTTGTTACAATTTGTATTCACTTTTGCGGACCTCATTCCATATCCTAGTTGTCTAGTTAGTATTTTTCAAGTAGGAAGTCAGAACTATACCAAAAGATGTACTTACAAAAGTGTCACTTTCTCTCATTTCCTTCTGTTCCATTCTCTCATTCTTTCCACCTTGCTCCCTCCTACTCCATATAGGTAATCAAGTACATTAGTTTCTTGTTTAACCTTTTCGTGTGTATTTTTGTGTGTTGGTTTTATATAAATGAGCAGATATTTGTATACATGCTTATTTCCCCCTTCTTTCTTGCATAAAAGCAATACAGATATACGTTTGCATTTTTCACTAAATAGTAAATCCTAGCTTGCAGAAGACAGTCAACATAGCAGGCTTTACTGCTACAATTGAAAAGGTCTACTTGCAGGGTTGGTCTTGACTAGCAACTGGGAACTAGGTTTCAGGAGAGTTTCCACCATTCCCTAAATGACAAGAGTGGCTCATTGCACAAGAATATGGTTTATGCTAAACACCGGCCTTTCTTCTGGGAGTCTGAAATTTTTATATGTGCCAGGCAGAGGAACACTACCATGTGATCAGTCACCAGGAAAAACTCTGGGCACTGCATCACTAACAAGTTTCCATGTTAGGCAGTATTTCATATGTCTTGTCTCAATTTGTTCCTGGAGGAGGTTAAGTCTGTATGACTCCACTAGAACTAATGACTTTTTTTTCTAATGACTTTTAGAAACTTGCACCTAATTTCCTCCGGACTTCGTTCTATGCCCTCTTCCCTTTGCTGATTTTCTTTGCATCCATTCACTGTGACAAGTCTTAGCTGTAAGAACAACTAAATGCTGAGTCCTGTGAACTCTAGTATATCACAAAACTTGGAAGTAGTCTTGGGATTCCTAAAACACCTGGAAACCACCTCCTATCAGCTCATGGGGATCCTCTTCATTTGTTATTATAGTTGCATAGCACCCCATGTAAGAAAAACCTTACACTATAATTTATTCAACCTCTCTCCTATATATGGACATTTAGGTTGTTTCCAATAATTTACAATTACATCTTTTGGTATAGTTCTGACTTCCTACTTGAAAAATAACTAACTAGACAACTGCAAAGAACAATCTTGCGTATATTTATTTTTATACTGTTGAAGGTGTATCTTCAGAGAAGATTCCAAGAAACGAGAATGCTGGGTCAACAGGTCAAGGCATATGTAGTTTTGTTAAATGTTGCTAAATTCCTTTCCAAAAAGGTTGTATCAGTTTGCATTCCCACAAGCAATGCATGAGAATCAGAATGCCTGTTTCCTCATAGCCTTTCTAACTAGGTATGTTGTTAAACTTTTTTGTTTTCACCAATCTGATATGGAAAAAGTGATATTTCAGGTAATTTGACTTCACATTTCTCTAAATATGAGTAAGGCTGACAATCTCTTCATAGATGAAAGCACCATACACAATGACTTATTAAGTCTTTTCCCCATTTTTCTACTGGGCTTTAGTTCTTTATTTCTTAATTCAACATTTCTCTACATGTTAGAGATCTAAGCCCTTTACTTATGATATGCATAGGAAGTCAAATATATATATATACATATATACACACATTTTAATAAAGGAAGAAAACTGTATTAAAATTGCAATACTCTGGATTGCCTGAGTCCGCGGGTTCAAGACCCGCCTGGGCAACTTGGCGAGACCTCATCTCTACAATAAATCAAAAATTAGCCGGGCATGGTAGTACACACCTGTAGTTCCAGCTACTTGGAAGCCTGAGGCGAAAGGATCGCCAGAGCCCAGCAGGTCGAGGCTGCAGTGGCCGGCAGCGGCCACTGCATTCCAGTCTGGGCTACAGAGTGAGACTCCAACTCAAAAAAAAAAAAAATTGTAGT